AGTCTCCGAGCCAAAAGAAAAAGCAAGACAACCCGGTTGACCTCTATAAAAACCATTACTATGCGTCTACTTCAGCTTCAACTCCAGCAAACTTCTATTTTTTTTCGTCAATAAGGTTGGTCCAAATGATCGTCAGAAAGAGTTGTATTAGGTGGGTTATTCTGTAGCGCAAAAATTTGTTGATTTAAAATTAAAATATTCTGGCGAGAATTAATTTTTCGAGCCTTCCATTTTTGATACTGATTAAATACCCAGGCTCGATTAAATTCTGCCAAGTCAACCTCAGCTTTGCACCTTTGATATATTAGCTAAAAGGCTAGCTTTTCTCCTAGCAATTCACCAATACAGGTTTGCTTTCTTGCTATATTATTTATCATTCTGTTTACTTGATTCTGAGCATTAGTCCACAACTGATCATGCTCCTGCATCGCTTGATCACACTCCTGCCTATATATATCACGGTTCCATTGTTCATTCACCAGTTCTTGTTGCAGGTTAGTGTATTTACGTCAGATTGATCTTGTTGATCTTTTAATTTGATTTTTTAAAATAGTTCTACATATTGTTGTATTTTCTAGGAATCGGTCTATGGCATCGGCAATTCAGCTATCATACCCATATCTAAATTTTGATCAAAATTATAAATATCTAAAGAATTTTCATCAGGGTCAGATTCGTTTTCATTAAAATTCTGTGCTTCTGCATTTTGTAAAGCCTCTCTAGTATTTATAAGTTCTAATATATCTCTATACCTCAATAATGTTAATGCGAAATTTTGACAAAGTAGGTCTGTAATACGATTTTTTTTTGCTAATTCTATTTATTTGATTGGTGCTTATTGTATTTATTTTTCATTTAAGCCGTTCGTTTTCATCTACTAATCTTGTTGTATAATCTTGTACTTTAGGTGTGTTTCCAGCCAATTTAGATATTTCTCATATTCTAGTTTTTAATTTTGTTTCATGCTCATTGAATTCTAATATTAATCTATCTTTATTTGAAATTTCCTTGTCTTTCTTTTTATTTTCTTCCTCAAGTTGATGAACGATTCTTTTTAGTTTTGAGATTTCTTTTTTTAACTCCTCTTTCTCTTCTGTAGAAACTTCGATTGTGTTATTTAACTCTTCTTCAAGAAATCTTATTCTTTCTTCCCGTATACCAATAATTCTTTCTAAGGTATATAGTCATTGTTCGAAATTTCTATTTGATTCTGCTAATTGCGATACTACCGTGTAAAGTTCTTGATTACTTTGTTGTAATTCCTCTATGCTTTTTTATTTATTATATTGATTGAAAAATTGCTAAATCCATAAAAGAGAATCAGTATGGAAGAACTGGTTATTTATATTGATTCTCAGAGAGCACGGGAGCTAGATCAGGTTATTGCAAAACAAAAACCTACAATTTTTATTAATTCTCAGAAAGCTTATAATTTAGACCAACATCTTGCCTTACAGAAGCTGTATTATCGCCTTGAGGGCTTTTACCAAAATGCAAAAGGATTATAGAATGCATGTAATAAAATTGGTTACACCTTCTCATTTACTGATATAAAAAAATGGCTTGATAGTCAGCAATGTATCAAATTTTTCAGCCTTCACCGAGACAAATACCTTATGCTAATTACTCTAAAATCACAAAGCCAAATACCGTACACCAGTGTGATCTGATCGAAATACCATATGATATAGATACAAATTCACTAGATGATGATCTAATATTTTACTATGTATTATTAGTTATAGACTGTGCGACTAGGTATAAAGATTTCATTTTTTTAACATCAAAAAGTAGTGAAGAAGTTGCGGAAGCATTTAAGAGTAAATATAATAACCCTGACAACCCTCTTAACTGGCCTCAGCTATTGCAATGTGATGAAGGTTGTGAGTTTATGGGAAGCGTGACATTGATAATAGATGAATATAATATTAATATCCGAAGAATTAAGGCACATTTTAGACACACAAGCATGGCAATAGTTGATCATTATGCTGGATTATTCGAATTAAGAGTTTTTAAAAACCAGTATACAATAGAGTTTCTCTTACCTACTGGTGAACGCTGTAGAGAATGTGAATGGTTTGCACGAAAGATTGTTGACAATATGAATAATACTCCAACCCGATTAATTGGATTGAGTCCTAATGATGCCATGAAACTTGAATGGATATATTCCAAGCCATCTGTAAAATATAATCATCCAATAGGCATTGATGAACCATAACTACCAAAGAATACTACTGTTCGATTTCTGCTTGCTCCTGGAGAGTGAGAAAATGATCCTTTTGAGCGACATAGAATAACAGATCCCATATAATCACCTAGCCTCTATAAAATTTGAAAAATTGTTGTTAGAAAGAATCTCCTGATGCCTGTTTTATATTATTTAGATAATTCGGGACCTCAGTATCCCTTTGTGAGAGAACAATTAATGCATATTAAGGAAGAGCCTATGCTTCCTCCTAGATGGTTCTTATTGGAAGGAAACCGAATGCATACAAGGCGCTTCTTATAAAAGTTTCTAAATCAATGGTGCAATAGGGAATTGTGATAAGGATTACTCCTTCTCTATAACATAGAGCCCTCTTTTTCCAGTCATGCCAAATTTGTGCATCTAAATTTATCTGTCCTTGCGGATGAAAAAAAGGCACGATTTGGTAATGTTGATTACCACTATATTTGAAGGCCAATCCTAACTCTTCATTGTATTCATCCAGATGTAACCCTTCCAAGAACTTAGATTTTCGGAGTGGAAATTTTTTATGCAATAAATCTTCAAATATATATCGGCATGTTCTTTCCAGTACATTAGAGCAAATATTACACCATCGGTAATTCTGTTTCATATTTTTATATGATGCCTCCCATTGATGACCTTTTTTACATGCCCATAAATATGTATTAGAATTAGTATTAACTTTCATTAAGCATCTTCCTTCCCGCCTTTGGGCATATGCTAAGGCTTTAGTATCAATTCTGTTATAATTTTGTATTTTATTCACTAATCTTTTTTTTGAATATAAATGAGAAAAAAAAGTACTATTTCGCGTTAATGGATCAGAAAACCAGGCCGGAAAAGGTTACTTTATGACCAGATTGAATATAGAAATTGAAGTTAGCTAGTATTATTGCACAAGAAAAAATAAATAAATAAATAATATTATTGTAAGTCTTCTTAAATCTTCGCGAGAAATTTTATTTCCATCTAAAGAAGGGAGTTCAGGATTCATGGGATCAGGATACTGTCTCGTGTCGATGTCCAGAACGAGGCAAAGAGGCAAATTCCCGTCAATGCATTCATGAGCATCGGGTAATCCATAAACTTTGGATAGGTGATTTACTACTATGAATCTCTTACCTGCAACCCGAATAATATATTTATCAAAAATTTCCTCAGAATAATGGGCATCTAGAAGAGCGATATCATCTTTACTATTAGACAGATATTGAAAGTATACATGATTATTATAACCAGGCTCAAAATCAAGGTCTGCTAAACTAGAGAAGAGCCTAGTTGCTTCATTTATTTCACTGGGATCAGGCCTAGATTTTTTTTGTGCAAGAAGCATGGTATATACAAGAAGTTAGTATAAAAATATATAAAAACTTGCAAAGTTTAAAATAAAAATTTTATATAATTTTGGACGAATATGCTTGCTGGCAAAACACTAGGTTAGAGGTAGTATCTAAAGTAATCAATGTGATATTAATCGATGCAGTAATATTCTAAAGTATTCCAGAGTAACAACTATATGAGAAAGAGTTCTAAGAACGTGAGAATGTAAAATAAGATATATATTCAATAGTATAGCAAAGTAGAATTATATATAGGAAAGAAATAAGAAAATATGCTTTGCTATACTACTAGCAATAGGTAGGAAAGAGGTTGGGAAGGCAAAAAAGGTCAGAAAAAATAGCTCCAAAGTATCCTGAAGTAGCAATGAGAGTTTAACTCAGTGAGATCGCGGGTGATACACCAAGATAAAATTATAGGACATATAAGAAGCACCAAGGCAGGTGCAGATACAAGTATACTTACTAGCTCAGGTAAGGAAAGTACAGAAGGGTCTGCAAGATATTGTATCTAAAGAGACTATGCAGATCAGAATAATTTGACAACCAAGCTGGCATAAGAGCGAACAGGAACTGGTGAACTAATAGAATCTCTTCAGTTCCTCTACTAGTTACCTGCTAGTTCTCTTCTAGCTTTATGATACTGACACAGCACTATCATAGTGCCAAGCTGGAACCTAAAATCATGTGCCCAAATATCAGCCAGAATTATAGCATAGTGTTAGCTAAAATTAAATAAAATTTTACCACGAATTTACTGTGCCACTAGTCACCTTTTTTATACTATTTCAGGCAACCAAGATAGTCTCTAAACTAGCACTCAAGGCTTCACAAATAAGATAATCAAGACGACCCCCAAACAGATACCCAAGGCTTCGTCAAGATAACCAATATGGCACCCAAACAGGCACAGAGCATGAAGGTAACCTCAACACCAAGAAGGTAACCAAGCCAACCCCAAACCAACCTGCAAGCCTAATATTAAAAATCAACCAACTCAACTTCCAAACCAACACACAAGACCAATATCAAAAACTAACCAACTCAAACTCTAAAAAGCTACAAAGCATCAAAAACATATAAATAGGTAGCAGTATAATCATAAGCAGGTAGTAGTATAATCATAAGCAGGTAGCAGTATAATCATAAGTAGGTAGTAGTATAATATAAATAGAGCAGTCTTATAAGACTGCTCTACTACACCAGCTAAACCGCCGAGTTGTCGCACTAGAGGAAAAGGTCATATACTCTGAAAATATGAACCAAGGAGAGGGCGTCCTTCAGGTATCTAAAGCCTGGGCAGACCAACTCTTCTAGGTTGCTAGCTAGAAGTAAGAGATGGACTGATAAAGAATCCAGATAAGAAGACGGTCTGAATGTGGGTATCGGGGTTGTTGTAAATCGGATAAGGGCAAGGAGTATATAACAGGCGTCTAGTTAGAAAGGTTGGTGCTTAAGAAACATCTATAGAAAGGCAATACTTCAAAAGGTGGCATGAGATATTAATACGGAATGGCAAATCAATATATACTAATTAGGAAGAAGTTATAGAAACATGCAGATGAATACATGTGTAGAACATATACCGCTTTGTTAGGTTTATCTCAAGGATAGATTAGCCATATATGATTAGTTAGTCTTAAGATAGAGATTGATAAATCTAATTGTGGTTAGTAAGTCCTAAAGTAGGGTGTGAAATCTACATGAAGTAGATGCCGAAATCCACTTACGTATAGTAAAGTAATACCCTGAGTTAGAGAGGCAATAGTGAGTAGTTATAACCAGATGATTTAAATAAGTACCCCCTAGTTGGGGTGCAGATATGGCAGATAGTGTAGAATCTTTGGGTAGACTACTTAAATTAGGCACTCAAAAGGTGCACGTGTGGCTTGATATACTATTGTTATAATTATATTATAAGACTGTTATCTGGTCCTCTAATAAAAAGTCTCCAGGCCAAAGAAGTCACCTTAATACCAAAAAAAAAAATGAATATTTCTATTTGCCGCCGGCAGCAATTGTCACCAGGTTGTATTTGGCTAATGATATCGCAGGATCAGGTGTAACGTTTGTAGAATATGAAGCAAAAAAACATTAAAAAATTGTGTTGACTCAAAATTTTGTATATGAAACCACCCTTTGTATTCTAGTAAAAAAAATTCCTTGTAAAATTTTACTATATAATATACTATTCAACACTGACTTTATTTGATTCTAACACTAACGCTAATAAATTTTAGTGTTTGTTTTGATTTTGCTAATTAGTCAAATACAATCCGGTGATGATCGCTGCCGGTGACACTAAGTTTTTATCTTATATATATATAGTATATATATATATATGCTCCAATTTCTGGAATTGATAATAACTTTTAATCCACTGATCCATTTTGTATGATTTAACTACCAAAATGCTTGTCTCAATGAGACGATTCTAACAAGCCCAAAATCGTTAAAATCTAATC